TCTTTGTACAGAACCTTTGAGTTTTGTTGCTAATACATGAATGGTCGATTTGGTTTTGGTTTCTGCTATGAAGGGACACCCAATGTTACCTTTTGGATATTTGGAGTTCCCTGTCTCCCCCCCCCCACCCACCCCCCCTCACCAATAACGAGCTAATTTGCTTCTCAGAAGTCTTCCATTCTTTCGCCGTCTTCATTTCTCTCACCTTTTCCATGGCGCCCCATAATTTCATCGTATCCTCTTTTCCAATCTTAGCATTTAGATCTCACATTATGACATTTAGATCTCACATTATGACATTTAAATCTCCCATTATGACATTTAGATCTCACATTATGACATTTAAATCTCCCATTATGACATTTAGATCTCCCATTATAACATTTAGATATCCCATTATGACATTTAGATCTCCCATTATGGCATTTAGATCTCCCATTATGAAATTTAGATCTCCCATTATGACATTTAGATCTTCCATTAGGACATTTAGATCTCCCATTATGACATTTAGATCTCCCATTATGACATTTAGATCTCCCATCATGACATTTAGATCTCCCATCATAACATTTAGATCTCCCATCATGACATTTAGATCTCCCATCATGACATTTAAATCTCCCATCATGACATTTAGATATCACATCATGACATTTAGATGTCCCATTATACATTTAGATCTCCCATCATGACATTTAGATCTCCCATCACAACATTTAGATCTCCCATCATGACATTTAGAACTCCCATTATGATATTTAGATCTCGACATGGACATTTTTCAAGTACGGCTTGTATCTACATTCTTGTAAAATTGGCCACTTTTCCGATTTTAATATTGTTTTACCCATATCACACTGTATTAATTTTAATACAACTCCCCCCCCCCCAACCCTTTATAAAATGGACTTTCCCATTCACACTCTATTTGAGACCATACCTTCTATCACAACATGTAGGTCATCCGTATGTCGACTACTTTCGTTAAATAAAATTAAAGCGGTTCGCGTCTGTGGTGACTCGGTTGGTACTATTCAAGATGGCGGACTTTCTGTTTCGGCTTTCTTGGCGAAAAAAAGATTTACAGGAGCAAACACCTTTGCTTTATTCAGCCGGGTGGACTGTCTTTTCTTAGAGGAACTCAACTTTGGTGTCACTGGAAGGCTCAAATCCAGCGCTTTCCAATGATGTGCTATTTGTCTACGTCAGTCGTATTTGAAAATTTGAGTTGAAGTTTCTATAAATAGGGGCGTTAGAGTAATGTGATAGTACCGAGCCTGGAAAGGGACCTGATCACCCCAACGAATTATACAGTTATGCTTTCACTGAAAAATCACATTTTGACCACTGTTTTGGCCTAACTATACGAATTGTCTCCCCTCACCGATGTAAAAGCTTCATTGATTTGATTATCACCGTTAGTAATGTAAACAACATTACCCCTTCGTTACCCCCACGTTTACTCCCTTTAACAGGGACGCCTATGAAACACCTACCGGGTAGCCCCCCCCCCCCAAACCTTTTTACCCAACCCAGAAACCCTTAAAGAAATTGGCCTCTTATCCCTTGGTGCTCAAAATGTTCCCTATTTGACCCGATGTTTCCTCATTGTGAAACAAAATTGAATGAATACTTACTGCGAGAGTGGATGCAACAGATAAACCGTTGAATGAAACACGTCACCTGATTTAGAGACGTCCATAAGGGCAGAATATGGAGACGTCTAGTGGGTCGCAATATAGAGACGTCCAGTGGGGCAGAATATAGAGACTTCCATAAGGGCAGAACATAGAGACGTCCAGTGGGTCAGAATATAGAGACGTCCAGTGGGGAAGAATATGGAGACGTCAAGTGGGTTGCAATATAGAGACGTCAAGTGGGGCAGAATATAGAGACTTCCATAAGGGCAGAACATAGAGACGTCCAGTGGGTCAGAATATAGAGACGTCCAGTGGGGCAGAATATGGAGACGTCAAGTGGGTCGCAATATAGAGACGTCAAGTGGGGCAGAATATAGAGACTTCCATAAAGGCAGAACATAGAGACGTCCAGTGGGTCAGAATATAGAGACGTCCAGTGGGGCAGAATATGGAGACGTCCAGTGGGTCGGAATATGGAGACATACATAAGGGCAGAATATAGAGACGTCCAGTGCCCATGGATCAGAATATAGATACGTCCAGTGGGTCAGAATATGGAGACGAGGAGTGAGTCAGAATATAGAGACGTCCAGTGGGTCAGAATATGGAGACGAGCAGTGAGTCAGAATATAGAGACGTACATAAGGGCAGAATATAGAGACGTACGTAAGGGCAGAAAATAGAGACGTCCAGTGGGGCAGAATATAGAGACGTTCATTAGGTCAGAATATAGAGACGTCCTGTGGGTCAGAATATAGAGACGTACATAAGGGCAGAATATAGAGACTCCAGTGGGTCAGAATATAGAGACGTCCAATGGCTTCAAATATAGAGACGTCTATAAGGGCAGAATATGGAGACGTCCAATGGGTCAGAATGTAGAGAAGTCCAGTGGGGCAGAATATAGAGACGTCCAATGGGTCCGAATATAGAGACGTCCAGTGGGTCAGAATATAGAGACGTCCAGTGGGTCAGACTATAGAGACGTCCAGTGGGGAAGAATATGGAGACGTCCAGTGGATCAGAATATAGAGACGTCCAGTGGGGCAGAATATGGAGACGTCAAGTGGGTCAGAATATGGAGACATCCAGTGGGTCAGAATATAGAGACTCCAGTGGGTCAAATATATAGACGTCCATAAGTGCAGAATATAAAGACGTCCAGTGGATCAGAATGTAGAGACGTCCATAAGGGCAGAATATAGAGACGCCTAGTGGGTCCGAATATAGAGACGAAGGCTTCGTGTAAGCTCGCGCAGCAGTAACGTTGTGACAAAGTAAGCTTAAGTATTCTTCCAGCGTTTCAAACACTTATGAGGCTACTTCATAAGCCACATTTTTTTAGTCATTTCCTATTAGTCATTGACCTTCCACGTGTCATTTATCACTATGCGTGCCGCGTCTGGCACGCGTGCTGTACGATGCCCACCCCTGAGCTATAAACCCAAGTCAAAGGTGTCTCTAGGATTAGTTAAAAAAGGAAGGGGGGTGAGTAATTAGGGACGGCTAATTTACAAATTAAAACACTCATATTTTTTAAAAATTATGTCACAAAGGCTAACAAGATCATCAGCCCCTGGATAAATGATGTCACAAACACCGGATCCACAACTCCTGCATAAATTATGTCCCAAAAGATCCATACTGTTAGAGTTACGCCTATATTAGCTTAGCTGACGCTCGTTCGATGGGGGCAAGGGGGGGGGAGGGGTAAATCATATCGGGGCTGGCTTGACAAATGCATCAACTCTCGTACATATCACTTAGACCGGTAAGTGACTCGAGGCAAACAGAGGGCTCTAATGGCGCATAGCTTACCTTTACACTTGGGGATCTTTACTTTCGTCTCGTGTTTGGATCGAGAGGGGAAAAAATGGAAGTCGGATAAAGAATGGGGTGGGGTGCAGATGGGGGGCGTTATATCGATTTCATGTCCCGCTTTAAGAATTTTGTTATCATTGAAAAGAACGCCCGTACAGTATGTTAGGCTCAAGTTTGCATTTAAAAAGTAAACTCTGTCTTTTGTTGGGGGATTTTTGTAAGAGGGAAAACCCGAATGGAGGAGGTTAAAATGACAAGTAATGTTGTGTTTGTCAGTATTTACTTTAGACGAAGTGCTGGGGGCCAAAAGCAGAAGTAATGTTGTAGTATAATGTCATTATAAGCTTTAGAGGAGTTACCGGAGGTACGCATGACAAGTCATGTTGTGAATGTCATTATTTGCTTTAAAAGATGTAATAATGACATAAATTACGAGCAATGTCGTAGTGTAGATGCCGTTATATGAATGGTAATGTGATGTGTTTTGCCATACTGCACTAACTCACATGGATCGAAGAGGTGGGTAAAAATGAAGACTGGGACTATACTGTACTGACATGTCATGTATCAAACTTGTGAGGAATTGGAAGACTTGCACTGTACTGACAAGGATCTAAGTTGTGGGTAATAAGAAGACTAGGACTATACTGACACGGAGAAAGACATTAAAGACATATACTTTAACAATGATTTAATAACCAGAAGTCCATTAGAAGTAAAATGGGATATATTGTATATTTAATTGAACTATATTTTATCTATATTTGAACCATATTTGAACTATGTTTGGACCATATTTAAACTATATTTGGACTATTTGAGCTATATTAGACATATATATTTATTCTAGTTTAACTAGTTGATGTCCATCAAAATTGACAAATAAAAAAACAGAAAATGAGTTCAGCACGTTTAACATTAATTATCATTCATCAAAATTTGGTTCTCTCTTTGAACACCAAACAGATTCACATCAAGATAACGTTGACAGTAATGAAATGTTTTCATGCATTTTCTAAGTAGAATATAAATTTGAAATCAAGTACAAAAAGGCTCCAAACTTGTTAAGACTCCTTCGTGTTAATGAGGGGACAGAATCCATTGTGAATAACAGTTTGGCCGGTCAAGTCAGATGATTTTTTCACCCCACACTTTAATTGAATCCCAAAACTCTAATTCTACACGAACTTTCTAGGACAGGGATGAGCAAAACTACGGCCCGCAGGCCGCATGCGGCCCGTAGTCACGTACATGTTGCGATCCTATGTCGCTGTTAATTTTTTTCGATTAGAATTTCCGCTAAATTTATTAAATTTTACTAAGAGTATTTGATTCGAAATTAGGGATATTAAATCGGGTTTTACGGCTCCAGAATCGAGTTGTCATTAATCGTTGACGTCCCTATTCGAAACTGCCTTTCCGCTCAACCGGAAGTGGCGTTTGTTGACATTTTGAAAAGTTTTGTCAAACGTGTAATTTGAAAGTGAATGTACGTTGATTTAACCATGAGGACGAAGGTCGTGTTTTTAATGGCGAAAGTACTGCTTCACGAACGTTTGGAGCAAAGCAATCTGCCGACTGTGCCATGAATGTGTGAGCGTCTTTAAGGAGTACACTTGAAAAAGACATCACTAAATAAAACACGTGGATTTCGGGAACAATTTAACGAACGAAGAGAGAAAAGGAAAATGCCAGGAGTTGGTTAACAATTGATCGAAGCATAAAACGGTGTTCAGCCAACAGTCTTTAAGCCAAGATGGCGCAACCGAAGCCAGTTATGATGCTGTCCCATAAGATTGTCAAACGTAACAAGTCTTTTTCTGACGGCGAGTTCATCAAGAAATGCTTGTCAGATGCAGCGAACATCATGTCTCCAGAACAGAAAACAAAGTTTGTCAGCATTTCTTCATCAAGAAGAACTGTGGTCGGGCGTGCTGAAAATATAAGTGACAATTTGATGCATCAACTTTGACATGCAAGCAAGGACTTTTTGTGGTACTTGCGTGCGTTGGACGAAAGTACTGATGTACAGGACAGGGCACAATTGTTTGGTATGTAAACGAGGAATCAAACACTCGTTTTGAGCTTACCGAAGAATTACTTAGTGTTGAGTCACTCAAAGACACAACCAAAGGTCAGGATTAATCCAATGCTGTTAAGAACTGTGTTGAAAGAACTGGGTGGGTGTGGAACAAGATGGCAAATATAAAAACCCGATGAAGAGTGCGCTTTGACTGGGGAAAAAAACGTAGGACTGTAGAAGTTGATGCACAATAAAATTAAAGAAAACATCCTGACCATACACTCTTAAAGCTCGACTGTGTCATCCATCATTAAAGTCCGCGTAAAGCTGCGTTGACTATCAAGCATCTTATTGACCCAGTTGTCAGTGTGATAACCCTCATCAGACCCAGTGGACACTTAACCACAGGCGATTCCAGGCACTGCTTGGAGATTTGGAAACATCGCATTTGGAGATGGCGTCGGTGGGTCATCAAGCGTGAGCTCTCAATACCCCCCCCATGGCACACTCCACACGGTCCAGCGTACCCGACCACCACACCGTGCGGAAACACGCTGGGGACCCCCCCCCCCACGGCCCGGCGGACGTCCGGCGACTGAATATGCAGCGTTTAAGGCGTTCGCAATCCACTCTCCGTTGGTCAGGACGGCTTTGCTTCCACTACGGAGGAAAGGTGTTGCGTTACCTCCCCCACCGTCCAGGGAGTGGTCCGGTTGGGACGCAAGCGGGGATGAAAAGGTCGCCAAGGAGCGGCTTTCTCAGAGCGTAGCTAAAATCATCGTTATGGCCTTTAACCGCCACCCAGACCTCATATCCATTAACGGCAACAAGTGATCATGTTATTGCGTTACTTCCGTTGCGTTGGAAATCATGCAAGGGACCGGGAGTTTTTGGCTTCGGGAGAAAAGACCTCCCAACTAGTCATCCACGCCACGAAGAGGAAAACCCCTTGTGACACTTCCGAGTCGCCTCGGTGGTGCTGAACTTCGGTCTAGAGACGTTCGGTCTCCGTCCAATATTGCTAAAGGCTTCATTGTCTCCTTTCCTTACAACTGTGTCTATACACGTCGCTAACTTTGTTGGATATTTGAACATTTTTATTTCACCAATGAAAACGTTTTTCATTATGAAAACGCTGAATGTCAATGAATGAATGAATTGAATAAGCCGAGGGTTCCCTGATTTTTATTTAGTAAAAAAAAATTAAAAAAATAATAATAATAACAATGGAAACGTAACCATTCCCTAGGATTTTTTCTTCACAGCAATACTCACCTTTGCCCATGACAGTATTTATAAGCATAGTAGACCTAATGATAAATCAATATTAATGTCCCAAATGAATGAATTGAATTTGGAACGCCCTTCCTGTCGATCTCAGAAACAACCAGACACTGGAGTCCTTTAAAACCGATTTAAAGACACATCTATTTCGCAAACACCTTCTGGGATGATTGTCTACCTTATTTTCCAGTTAATGCATAATGGCTGTGTTGCTTAGGGTTGAAATGGCTAGAAAGACTTTGCCATTGTATGCTTGTAATTAGTTTTTGTAGTGTTGCGTTTGTTTTAAATGTGGTAAATTATATATTTGTTTTTTGTTTTTTTGACTTTGTACCGCGCTTCGGGCCTTTGGGGATGAAGCGTGCTTTTGAAATGAACTTTATTATTATTATTATTATTATTATTAATAAACCTAGGGTTCCCAAATTTATTTATTTATTTATTTATTTTGTTAAAAATTATAACAAAAATAATAATATAAATATTGCCATTCAAATGGGCTTTTTTTCCTACAAAATTTTTTACCCTTGCCTAAAGCAAATTGAAATGTTAATTTCGGAACTATTCGACATTGGAGTAATCGTGCAGCTGTGAGAACTGTTCGCGTAGAATTGGCCATATAGAATACTATGACAGCAAGACGTCGAGCAATAATGAATATCGGATTACCGGCCGACATACAGACAGATTGAGTGTCCGACTTCTGATAGATGGCCGAAAGCCTCAATCACTTTCAGCCAAAAGCGAAAAATAAACCGAAAGCTAACTTTTCTGTTTCGGCCGAACCGAAACAACGCCGAAAGTAATCAAATGGCAATTAATTTTCTGCACGGAAACCGACATTCGGTTGGCCTGTACTAAGGTGCCTATATAAATTTACAGTGTAAAACAACTAACTTCAATATATTAAGCTAATATATATATATATCAAAACAAGCAACATGACTTATTTAGCTTCAAGAGTAAGACAGTGTAAGCCAACTAACATGCCTACATCAAGTTACAGCTTAAGGCATCTGCTATAGGGACCATATCTCAATGATACAGCGAAAGAAAGGGTTTGTCAGGCAATTGGGGAGTACGATGGCCTACTGGTGACTGTAAAAAAAAACGCAAATTACAATGGTACGGCCACGTAACAAGGAAACAAGAAATATTGCAGGGCACCACAAGAGGAGGGAGAAGAAGAGGAAGACAAAAAAAAAAGATGGGAGGATAACATCAAAGAGTGGACAGGACTAACACTGGGCGATGCAGTACGTAGTGCTGAAGACAGAGAGGAATGGAGGAGGATAGTTCACATGACATCTGTGGCGCCACAACGGTCCAAGGACTACGGGATATGAGGATGAGGATGAGGAACAGGGCTACATCAAGTTACAGCTTAAGGCAACTAACAGGGCTACATCAAGTTACAGTGTAAGACAACTAACATGGCTACGCAAGTTACAGTGTAAGACAACTAACATGGCTCCATCAAGTTACAGCTTAAGACGACTAGCATGGCTACATCAAGTTACAGTGTAAGACAACTAACATTGCTACATCAAGTTACAGTGGAAGAAAACTAACATGGCTACATTCAGTTACAGTATAAGACAACTAAAATGGCTACATCAAGTTACAGTGTAAGACAACTAACATGGCTACATCAAGTTACAGTGTAAGACAACTAACATGGCTACATCAAGTTACAGTGAAAGACAACTAACATGGCTACATTCAGTTACAGTGTAAAACAACTAACATGGCTACATCAAGTTACAGTGAAAGACAACTAACATGGCTACATCAAGTTACAGTGTAAGACAACTAACATGGCTACATCAAGTTACAGTGTAAGACAACTAAGATGGCTACATCAAGTTACAGTGTAAGACAACACACTAGACTAGACGAAGAGCTCGTCAATGTTATCTGTTTTAGTTGGCCGTCATTACAATCACGCAGGCCTTCTGCAATCTAGCACTTATCTCCCCTGTACACCAGGGGGTGCTGTGTTCAAATGAACGAAACAAGATGGCGCCTAGCGATCCCGCGTGGTTTGACGAGACCCAGAAGCAAACTGTGATGGCTGAACGATCCTTGACTGCATCGATACTTCGGAATCATTCAAAAGTTTGTGTTTTTGTTTGTTGTGGTTTTTTTGCTTTTTTTTTTTTGTTGTTGTTACTTTTCTTTAATTTGAATTCGCTTCTCTTTATTTAGGTTACATAAAACCTCTGCCTTCATTACTCGGTTTTAACGGTGTTAACAAAAAGTTGCAGACTTAGATAAAGTCACGTGATCGTGGCGTTTCGTAAATATACTTTAAACAATGAGCCGGAAATTATTTATGTACCGCAATTTTGTTGAAATAGATATACAGAGTATGGATTAAATTGTACAGTTTTCATTATTTCGCACTTTTATTATTATTATTATCACAGTGGTCGTAGCACGGTACAACCCCAATTTTGGGCTAGGCTCACAGCGCTTCACATAAAAATTAGCAAACAGAAAAAAAAAAAAAGGATTATGACATTAAAAAGCACAGTTACATAAAATTATTCAATTAAAAACAGCTTTGTAAAAATATTGAGCTCGCCCACCCAAGAACTATTTACCCATGTCTAGCCATGGACGCCACCCAGCAGCAGCGAACGTTGGATATCGGTCGGGGTGGGGGGGTGTAAATGAGTTGGAATAGTAGAGTTTAAAGAAACGCGTCTGGAGTGCAGTTTTGAAGACTTGGATGGACTGTAAACGAAATACAATATGTGTATGGAATCGTCGCAAGGGACAGGTCAGTAAATTAAGCTCAACTACTCCAAAAGTATCGTGATTACATGGTAAATCGAATCCCATAATTAAGTCCGGTATCGAAATTGTCCCAACCTATTAGCAGCACACCACGGGGGGGGGGCAATGTGGTGCCTAGTCAGCTTGTCCTGGCGGGGCTTGAAGCCGATACGCTGGAACTTAGACGCAAACACCACCAGGGACCATCCCGGCCTTATCCAACTATTCAGCTCTTGTCCTAGCGGGGATTCCCGGGGCGGCGTGCAGCGTTCACCGCGTGACATTTGGAGGCCGCGGGGATCCCGTGTGCTCTCAGCGAGACTGACTTGGCGTCCTTACTGGGCGAGATGAGAGAAGACGAGATGAGAGAAGGCGAGATGAGAGAAGACGAGATGAGACAACGAAGGAGCGCAGAAGGGCGGAACGGGTTAATTAAAATGTTAAATGGAAATGAAGGGAGAGATGGATGACCAATGTCCAGGGGGAGCTTAACATCAGGGAATGCCGAAAGATTGATGACCACTTCACACCCCTATTAAGCCAGGTGATTACAAGTACTAAAAAATAACTCGATTCGGTCAAAGTTTAACTAAGAATGTGTTAATAAGTTCATTAAATTTAGGTATTCCGTCTCTCAAAGTAAGCAACGCCTACAAAAAGGTGATGGGTATAGAGATACAATTTTCTTTTTCTGTACATATCGTTTCAGTAACTTAGAATCAAAGATTTATTCCATCTCCTCGTCTTGTTTGTAATAACTGTCCAATGTGTCCGAAATACGTCATTGAGTTCTCTATAATAGAGAAGAATAGGCGAGTCTTTAGCGCGTCCAATTCTAGGGGACATTTACAAAAATGTAACGGCGTGCAGCGGTACAGCAGAGA